CATCTAAAAAGCCATCACTTAACTCATAGTGAAGAACGTACTTTCAAATGCGATATTTGTAATAAGGGTTTCAAATGGAAAGGGCAACTAAAAAGCCATCACTTAACTCATAGTGAAGAACGTCTTTTCAAATGCGATATTTGTAATAGGGGTTTTAATCAGAAAGTGCATCTAGAAAGCCATCACTTAACTCATAGTGAAGAACGTCCTTTCAAATGCGATATTTGTAATAAGGGTTTCAACTTGAAAGGGCAACTAAAAAGCCATTACTTAACTCATAGTGAAGAACGTCCTTTCAAATGCGATATTTGTAATAGGGGTTTTAATCGGAAAGAAACTCTAAAAAGTCATCAAGTAACTCATAGTAAAGAATGTTTTTTCAAATGCGATATTTGTAATATGAGTTTCAAATGGAAAATGCAAGTAAAACGCCATTACGAAACTCATACTGATTAGCGTAACTATTTTTCTTAGGTATGTAAGAAAAGGTTTAATAAAAATGTTTGATAGCTCATAAAATCGTTCATAATAATAAACTTGTTTCACAAGTTTAATATTATTTAAGTTTGTTAAATAATATTACTTGTACTTGTGATATAATATAACAAATATTTAAAAACAAAACACTATTTGGCATCACGAAATAGTTTATAATCAATTTGTCCATACTTGTCAGGTATGTAATTAAAGTTTTCAACGCAGTTCCAGTTGAAAGTGGCATATTCTTATACACAGCAATGAATACTTATATTCTTGTCATATGTGTAACAAATATTTTAAGACAATAGGTTTCTTGGACAGCATAAAATTATTCATAGCGTTACAAAGATATATGTTTGTGACATATGTAAAAAAAAGATTATAACAATACAAATGTTTTAACCAGAAATTGTATTATTAAACATAAAAAAGGGCGAGATTTGTAAAAAAAGAAGTATGTATGCAATATTTGTAACAAGCTATTTAAGATTAAAAACACACTAGAACGTTGGAAAATTCATATTGAAAAGTGAAATATGTGTAATAAAGATTTTCAAAGTAAACGCAACTTAATCAGCAGAAAGTTCATTTTAACATAAAACCGTCTTGTTGTCAGAAGTGTAATAGACTTATAAGTTAGACAATGAAGACAATCTTCGTTAAGTTTGTGAAACAAGTGTGTAACAAAGGTGTTTTTATTAAAAGTTTCTATTAAGCCATTAACTCGTTCATCAGAATCATTCGTATTTTAGAATCGATTGTAAAATCAATTTAAAACAGAAACTAAACTGAAATTGTATTTAAAACTCACTTGTTTAGAATACACTCCAATTAATTTATCAATGTAGCATATGTTGATCAGGCTTTTACGTGTGGGGAGGTTTTAGAGAAGCATATGACTATTTTTAACATTCAGATTCATTTCTAGTGTTGTGATGTTTGTAAAAAGAAATTTACAACAACAGTCGAATTCCAAACTCATCAAAAGTTTGTTCATATGCCCAATCGTTATTTACTTACGTTTTATAATACAGTGGCAAATACCTGTAATTAGGAATAATATCAATCTAAAAGAATAAATTTAACACAAACATTCGTGACGTCAGGTAGACACGACGCCATAAGAATCCGATGGCAGTGCCCTGTAACTGATTTTGGCACAGTTGTACATTTTGCTTGGTTTAAATATATCATTGACTTTAAAATGGATAAAATTCATTTATTCATTCATTTTTATTTAAGTACTTGGTACATGTCCCGGCCCCGCTAGAGCATTACCAGGAAGTTATACATATTCTTAAATATATATAGTTACCAATATTTGTATACATATACAATAATGACAAATAGTAATAAACAATATGAGTAAATAAGTTATATTTTAAATACGCTTATAACGTATATTAGGATAAATAATATTATCAAAACGAATTATAATGTTCAGATAAACAAAAGAAAATAAATAAATAAATGCTTAGTAGTTCATAGCTGTGCAGAAGATCTCTTGAAGTACCTTGCAGATGTGTACTTTAAAGTCTTTAGTTCTAAGCAGAACTTTGTGTCAGTGAATATCACTTGGACCCAAGTAAAACCAGTGTTCAGAACAGTCCTTATAAAAGTTAGTGGTTTGAAAGTTACTACACACGTCTATAAACAGTTTGAAGATTGTTGTGTAGATTCATTGAAAAGAAACTAGGTTGAGCCATCAATAAGCCGAATGCCCAGCGAAGGTTGAGGTATGTCGATTATGCTGCTGTTGTGCAGATCATCTAAGCACAAAGGAAACATAGCTGAGCTACATATAAATTGAAAGCCCAGCGAAGTTGGATTAGGTGAATTTCACTGCTTTGGAGCACATTGAATGAATTAGAGCTCTTAGGTACTAGTACATAAAGCCCACTTCACAATGCGCTTTGAAGCACCGTAAAACACTTACACTTTACACATTGAACTTTGGAGCACCGTATAACACATTGTAGTACTCGTTGTAGCATATTGCACATGTAGCAACATAAAACACTAGAAGCACCATGAAATACTTATAGTACCACACAACAAGTCAAAGCACTAAACACACTTAATCACATTGCGCTGTAAAGCACATTTTGAAGCACCAAAAAGCACTAGAGACACCATAGAAAACTAGAAGCACTATAAAACATATCAAACATTAAAACATTAAGCACGTTGCACTTGTAGCACCATAAAACACTAGTAGCACCATTCATCACAAGAGCACCAGAAGCATATAAATTAACACTCCAAAACCTTTAAACGTCCAGTAGTAATCAATTTAATAATAAACAAACGTTTTCGACCGTACTTTCGGTCTTCATCAGGTTTAAAAACCAGTTAGATTCGAACCAGTGCACGCATAGAACAATGATTATGAAATTATTTTGAAAAATGGAACAGCACAAACGGATTATAAAAGAATACAGTTATGCATGTGCATTGCCATGGCGACGGAATGGCATATGTAATACATACAATTATATATATATATATATATATACACCAAATGGGGATGTGGTCTCTAACTGCTGGAATGGGCGTCGCCCGCTACCTAATAGCAGTACTTCCAAGCGTGCGACACATTGACCGCATCATTAGCGTTAATGTAATTGGCGTAACCCGGCTTTGTAAATTTCCAGTGCTTCTAGATTTCGCAGGTGTTCCACCCGCTGAGAAAGTTTGATCAGTTTGGTCTCATGTAGGTCAGCTCTTATGCCGGGTTCAGTGGTATATGTTGATAGGGCGGTGGTGTGCCGTTTATTAACGATGTCGTATTTGTGTTCCTGCAATCGTTTATTTAAAGAGCGTTTTGTGGACCCAATATAAACTAATTCCCTTTGAAACCTGTTGTCCCAAAGAGGGACCATGTAAACACCCGATGCTTGCTTTTTATTGATCTTGTCTTTGCCACCGCGGAGTAGTCCATATACAGTGCTAGGCCTCTTGTATGCAATCTTAGTATTAGTATGGGCAGCAATCTCCCTGTAAACGGCGTTGAGGTGGTGATTGTACTCAACCACCGCACGAGACCTATTTACGTTGTGTGTTCCGTGGGCCGCTGCTTGTATGTTAGAAGTGTCGCGTGCGGCTATTCGGGATACTACTGGACGTTTAAAGGTTTTGGAGTGTTAATTTATGTGCTTTCCAGTATTCACGTAAGAAGATTTTATGTTTCAGCACCAGAAGCACATATAAGCATGCTGAAACACTTTTAAAACACTGCATGGTTAAAACATTTTGAAACACTATTAATGAAAAGCACTTTGAAGCATTAGGAATGCACATTTAAGCACTACAAAACACTTTAAACACATTGAAGCATTAACCAAGCATTGAAACACATTGAAGCTCCAACGAAGGATCTTGAAGCACTTGAAAGCCCATAGGAGTATGGTGATTACATTCTATACATTGAAATTTTCTGACGTATGCTTGTCACAAGAGACTGTTAGAGCACAATGAATTTCGTTCAAGCAAGCTGAGAACAAGCCCATTGAAGAGGCATATTGAATTTATTGTAAGCAGCACAGCAGAGTCACCACTACAAACTTATGTTCCATATAAGTCCGCTTTAGTGGGCAGAGACTGTAGAGCTCAGCACAGTCAAAGTCTCAGATCAATGAAGGCCCTACATTATCACAGCGTGCACTGATAAGCAAACTGTTGAAGACACGCTGCCAGAACATAAACATAGTTATTTCTAATAGTGGATTAATATCATAATGGCCAAAGTTGAAATACAGACATTGATATTTTCAATAGGGGTTAAATGTCATAATGTACAAGTCGATAAAATATAGGATTTCAAAACAGTCACAAAGCCAATGGATAACTCGGTCTACATTCAGTTGTGGCACCTCATAAGTACATCACAACTAGTCAATCAGTCAGACACTTCCCAATAGTTATGTAAACCAGAAATAATGACAGGCTCAAGCGTATAAAGCAATGAGCATCCGACGTATACATAGGTAGCCATCACAAACAAATGAATAAAAGTGATGGCGAGAACAAGATAAATCAGAGGTGGATAGTAATTTAATAAAATATATCAAGAAATAGACAAAGTCATAATTGCTAACCCTCCGAATAAACTCTCGAATTCAAAATCACACCTTTAAATAGAGCGCATAATCAAAATAGATGCAATAAATACAATTAATTTAATTATAAATAAGTTGGTTTGTAACAATGATAATTTGTTTAGCAAATCGTAAGAATACATTATATACATTCTTGTTTCTCATATTGTCAGATAATCGGCATGGCCAATCCACACCAATCTCCTCTAATGTTAATCTTAATTCCAGCCTCACTCTTTCAAACATAACGCAGTCGAACAAATAATGTTTTGATCCATCAATAATATGGCATGTAGGGCATTCGTTCGAAGTCCTACTAGTAAACCTGGCAAGATAGCATGCGAATTTTCCGTGATTGGTGAACATTTGAGTCACATAATAATTTGGTGAATACCATCTTAAATTATAAAATTGATGTATATCAGGTATAAATTCATAAGTAATGCGATTTTCATTCCATCTATCCTGCCATGCACGAATAGTATCCTCCCATAAAATCCGCCGTAGGGTTTGTTGGCTAAGTTTATTATAACTAACTGGCATGGTGAAGTTTTCCGCCACTTGCTTGGCTAAGAAGTCAGCCCTTTCATTTCCTATTGCTCCCTGGTGGGCTCGAATCCAAGAGACAGCATATATACAAGAAGACGAGCGTATCATTCGCCTAATTTCTTCAGCAACTGGGTGTAGTTTGACGCTATTTATAATTTTATGGGCAGACAAAGAATCCGTGTGTATGTGGATTAGGGCATTACTATACCNTATAAATTAACTTCTGAAGTATAATTTTGTATTGTTTTTATATTTTTTCAATATATTTATTTTGTTTGTACAAAATAAATAAATAATTTTTAACGATACAATAGTCTTCGTTAGGTTTAACATCGACGAAAATTCAACGCGAAGCGACACGCAACGGAAACAAATTTCATCGTGGGATAAACTAATATGTTTTTCGTACATAATCAGTTATCCGAAATATCGGGTTTTTTTTCCCCGAACAACCCGTCTCCAATTCATTCGGATAATCGACGCTCTACTGTATTCACTTAATTTTTTCCATATTTTTTCGGTGTATATAAATTATACTGTTTCAAACTTTCTTAATTAGTAGTTTGAGTACTTCTGCTTTTTAGTGCACGATAAATTAGAGAATAAACAATGAGTTTTTATTTCAGACTTTTTGGTCAGGTCCACAATCGATGCGGTCACATGTTGAGAAAGGTTGCCCGACATACAGGCGGACCTAAGATTTACAAAACCCTAGGCAAAATTTACTTTGAGGCCAAGTGCAACGATGATAGCACAAAATACCAGATTTATTTATTTTTCCAATACTATGAAATACTGCAGTTATATAAACAGAGATTACAACAAATTAATAAGCACTGCAATTTCTAATTTTATCTAGTTTAAGTAGAAGTTGATTACAAATAAATAATAGAGAGGTTGCGATCGAAGTTTTCATCGTTAAAACGT